ACACAAGATGAAGCTGTGGTATAGTAGAGTTGCTATCTAAACAGCTTGACTAGTGTAGAAATAATCATCTATGACCATTACAGCTGGTTCTTATTCTTTCATGAATTACTAGTAAAATTGTAGTGCAATGTAAAAATGAATAGCTTTAAATGAAAAAGTTTTAAAGCTTTAGGAAATTAAAAATCATAAATGGTGGGTGATAATATATGGCAAAGATCAGCTTTAAACTGATATCTATTTTAGAATATGAATATCATCTAGAAGTAAGAAAAATCCTTAGATATTTCCCTAATTTAGCCTTTTGTTATAAGTAAGTCCTGTTACATTTTCCAAAGCATAATTTCGCCAACTGGTACGTATCTCCAAAAACAATATGAAGACTTGATAGATTTTTGAGAATTGGTGAAGGTTAGTGAAAGTTTAAATCTGTTTGAAATGAAATGTCATTCACAAATTTTAAAAAAACCTTCATACTACGTACTGTATTTTTCAGAGTATAAGACGCACCTTTTTCACTCAAAAAAGAGGCTGAAAATCTGGGTGCATCTTATACACTGAATACAGCATTTTTGTCTCCTCAAACGCCGCCCCCTTCACCAAATGGCCATGCAGAGCCTTTAGGAGCCTTGCAGAGTGCTCCTGGGGGCTGGGGAGGGCAGAAATGAGAGGAAAACGTGGGTTTTTTTGCTTAATTTTGCTCCCCCAACCCCCAGGAGCACTCTATAAGCCTCCTAAAAGCTACGCATGCCCTTTTTCTGACAAAACACGGGCCAGTTTTCACAAAATGGGCCGTTTTTTACTCGTTTTTGCCCCCACCCCAGGACCACTGTACAAGCCTCCTAAAGGCTATTCATGCCCTTTTTTCTTTTTCTTTTTTGAAAAAAAACAGCCCCATTTTCATGAAACACAGGCCATTTTTGGGAGGTTTGCAGAGTGCAAAAACATTTTTTTTTAAAAATTTGCCTCTTCAAAATCTTGGTGCGTCTTATACTCCAAAAATTACGGTATATACATTAAAATTTTTGATTTAACTTTTGTATTAAATCTGTGAAAATAGTTAAATAGTGTTGCCCTACATACATATATTCAAATAAGTTTTATTAGAAGTGAATTTTTAATTGCAAGACTTGGAAAAAAGAATGTAGTGTTTCAATGTGTTCCTAATACTGTACACAAGCAATTAGCACTATGTAGTTATAAACACATATGCTGTATTATTTAAGAGCAAAAGCAGATTTTTCCTTCCTTATATATACAAAAAGAATCTGTTACATAAAAATGTACAGTATTATTTTTGGGATATGTTTGCCTAATATTTTAATAAAATGCTTAAAACTGTATTAATGCTAACAGATTTGTTTTAAAGTATTTTCTCTATTTTAAGCATGCCCAGCAAGATCGAGCTTTAACACAGACTTATAGAAAAATAGATACTGAAGTTGCAGGTCTGAAAACAATGCTTGAATCACACAAACTTGACAATATCAAATATTTAGCTGGTAAGTTATCCTTTGTCTACATATTTGCTTGGTCAATTTCCTTATATGCCTGCTCAGTTTATGCTTATGTTTAATATTTATGTCAAATATGATAGTTTCTAGTTGGTACCAAAAATTGACTGTTTAGTTTAGTATATTAGTTTAGAACCTCTATTGCTATATTTTGTTGGCATAATCTCTTGTTTACACTGGCTATGTGTTTGATGCCGCAAATAACATTTTTCCTACTAGTTACACAGTATAGCTTTCACTTTTGATGCTTAATTGCTAAAACAGGATCTATAAAACAGGTCATATTAGAATAAATTTATTTTAATATATGTAACTTAGTGTATAAAATTTGAATAGCATAAACTGTTTTTAAAATTGTGATAACTTGAAAGAATAATTTAAACAATAATATTTTCTCTAGTTTTGCTTATTTGTACTTCTTCCCTTTATTTGATTATTAGTCCTTTTTTCAATTTTCTTCATTCTCTGAAATGCAGATCATAATAGGATATGATATATACAGCCTAGCATTAGTTTCCAGGTTGTCTAATAATACACCATTGCTTGCAAGATTCTAGTAATATGTTAGAACATTTTAATGTTGATAGAATTGTATTTTTGAAAGGAGTAAAACAACCATATTTAAACTTATTTTTATACCCAGAAATCCTTATGTATATTTTTTCTCTGTTTCTTCATCTAGGTTCAGTATTTACGTGCCTTACAGTAGCACTCGGATTTTACCGTTTATGGATATAACGAAACATTATTTTCAAGGATCTTGCATTAGCTTGCCGTAAGAAATAACATGTTATTTCCATCTGAGAAAGTAGCATTTTATTTATTTATTGCACTGAAAAATATAATCAAAGAATTACATATGGGCGCCTGAAAAATGTATGGGTATCAAAATATTGAAAGGAACCTTGCCTGTGTTATGGGCATCCATATTTTGCACAGAATATGTCCACTCAGAACTGACTGTTTATATGTCTCCAGGATATTATGATCCTAAAAAGATAGCTTTTAAAATACCTACTACCTATATCAAATGCAAGTTTTAAGTTAGAAGATTAGTGGTATCATAACAACAGACATTAATGCTAAGTGAGTGGGGATAATATAATTCAATTGCCTTTATTTATCATGTTCCTTCAGAGCTAGAAATTCTTGAATTATGTCAGGGTTTTACTTCCTATGTATCGATAAACAGGATTCTAAAGATTTTTTGTTTCTGTATTTAATGGATGTTTCCGTTGTCATCTGTTGTTAATAAACCTCCGTCCAAATGTTTTATAAGCAACGGTTGTAAAAAGATTGTGCTGATAACAAAATGCCAAAAGAACAGTAGACAAAATCTTAACTGTTTCCTTAATAGAAAAATAATGGAAGCAAAAACTTTTACAAAAGTTTAATTTTTAAAGTTGTACTTCCAATATTTTTATATTGGGGAAACAGCTAGAGAAAAAAGGCATTTTTCTTAATAAAATAATAAAAGGCTACCAGCATAATCATAAACCTTTTTTTTTTAAAGGTTAATCGGGTTTACTCTCAGCTAGTGATTACAAAGTTGTAGCCTATTGAGATTTTTTCAATATTTCCAGAATAACAGTAATTATAAATCAGTGACCAAATTTATCTGCAGTTAAGCACTATAAGAAGTTCTTAAAGAGAAAACTTTCCTAAGTAGAAAATAGTATTGGCGATTGCAGCTAGAAGATACCAAATACCACAAATACATACCTGGAAATAAATTCTCATGAAATTAAAAGAATAGTCATTTTGCAGACTGGAAAATTATGTGTACAAGCTAGGCCAAAATTTAAACCTAACACATATATCCATAGGTCCATTTCTTCTAGGGAAATGTGGAAGAGAATGCTTGTTTTACATAAGCAATTGATTAATTGTTAAATTTGGCAACATAAAAGAAGTTATCACTTTTATGATGAAACACCAATTGATAGTAACTTTATTACCAAAGAAAAGAAAAATGCCTAGGTTTTTTCAGCTCATATGCCAAAATAATCCCACAGCAAAATACTTTCAGCTGTTCATACATATACTTATTTCCCCTTCTTTTGTAACTTTTATTGTCAATCACAAGCAAAATTGCCATTGATTATGATCCATTTAATTAACCTCATAAGAAAGATTAGACTTGAATAATTTCTTTTTAAAATAAAGGTGACTTGAGTGGTTTCACTATTTTTATCAATTTTATAAATATAAAATACTCAGAAGAAATATATTGATGAATAAGATTTACTGAGTAATACAAACTATGAAAGATCGTTTCAACATAGTTTACCACAACATTTGACCTTTTTTATTATGCTACATGTGTAATTACTTCTTTGTAATATCAGTTCGAAAGCCTCTTTACATGTAAACTGTCACAAATTAGTGGCAAATGTTTTATAAGGAAATTCATTTACAAATAAATAGATACCTTAGATTACACTAAATAAAATAATACAATGATCTGAAGTAGTTGTCATTGCCAGGCCTGAGATTGGTGTATCTGGTGAGCTGTGTGTGTTTGTGTGTGTGTGTGTGTGTGTGAGAGAGAGAGAGAGAGAGAGGTGGGGGGATTANAACTGGTAGGAACCCACCTCTGGTAAGGCCATTGCAATAAGGAGCAGATGCACCAGCCGTGCAGAAAAGGAGGAAACGGTAAATCTCATCATTTTTGCCCTACATCCTTCTTAAAATCAATCCAATGAGTGTTTGGATAGATGAAATATTCTAGCTTTGTTTCTACCAAGGAGCAAATTCAGCAAAACAAACTTCCAGATTGCAATAGTTTGCTTTGTATTTGAAGCAAAATTGAAAAATTCGGTCTTGTTATTTAGGGTTACACCTGTTCTCTAATGATAATTACATGGGAAAGGATGGATTTTTTTCTGCTCACCAAATTATTATTGAAACCTCTTGTTTTTATGATCATGCTTGTTGAATCAATCTGTATGTAGCAAATAATGTTTTATATTGTTTTAGGATTCACCACTCAACAATCTGAGATCATTGTGTCTGCTGTAATGAACATTATGAAAAACAATATGGATATGATACACAAAGACATGGTCACCAAAATGCAACAGGTTGGTAATGTATTTAATGTATAATTATATTTACTAGGGTGGTCTCAGATTAAAACCATCTAAATTAAAGACATTTAGTTATAATAACTGATTTTGATAGTGCTATGCTACTAACATAAAATGTGTTGCAAAGTAAATATATAAAATATGTCTGCGCTAAACAGTAGATTACTCTGATCTCCATCTATTCATAAAGCATGCAAAGGCATTCACTTTTGTTGATATGGCCTTATTTTGCATGGATTCTTATATATATTTACCTTCAAAATTAGTACTTCTTCATGAGTCCAAGGTGAGTGTGGGCCATGCATTTGGCATCTGTCTTACAACACTTCAAATCAAATAAACATTTTGGGGGGATCACACTACAATTGCAGAAAGCACCTGCCATTCCCAGGAAAAGACAGAACTATTTTAAGTAGTAACAGGTCATGTGAGCACCTCAGCAGGTACCTTTGAATTTTAAACAATTGTAATTGGCAAATAACCGTGCATAATATAATAATAAACTACATAATATTGCATAAACATCATAGCTAGAGGATGATATCTCAGCACTGGTTGTACTGATGGCCTGAAGAAACCCTTTTTTCCTTTTTTCTCCAAAGGAAATTGCTGTTCAGCAGATAATGTCTCACATTGGTGTTGTAAAAAAGGATATGATTATTTTGGAAAAGAGTGAATTTTCAGCACTCCGAGCAGAAAATGAGGTAATTATTTTTTTAAAAAGGTATTGGCTATTTTTTGAACATATGTAGATGAAATTTTAGTAGTGTAGCTCAAAAATATATTGAATCCATTTAATATTAGCTACCATCTGAAATTAAGGAAAGACTTCTGTTTTCAGTTTTAAGGTAGAAAGCTTGCACTAAATGAAATCACTGCCATTAGATTGTTGAAAGGAGTTTTAAAATGTAACCACATTGAGAGCAGTAGATAAAAGAATGTGCTATGCCCGTGCCTATTTCATTTCATTATGATTTTGGAGTCCAACAAAAACCAACAAATACAAAACAATATAGTTTCTCTGAGACTGGAAATCTTGATTTTTGACCCTTTTCACCTCCATGTTCGTATTTGTGAATGCTTTAATAAGATCTATGTGCTTGCTACATTCAGTTCAGCTTTGTACAGGCATATACAGTAGATGCTTTTTGAATATATCAATATACACTCATAAATAGTAAATGTAGTTACATGAGAATTCCAAGTTCCCTTCTTCTTTTTTACCTCCTTATTATCAAACTGAGTTGATTGTAATCTAAAATCTGTATTTACTACATGCTTCACTACTTTTTTGCCTGGTGTTTTAACTAAGCTTATTCTCTTTTTTTAATGCAAAGAAAATAAAATTTGAACTTCAGCAGCTAAAAAAGCAAGTAACGGTAAGTTACATTATTTTCAAAATGCAACTTTAGAATATAAAATGAATACTTTCTGTAAGACGTTATTTTATAATTTCGCCCTGTATCCACTTATATGGGAGCAAATGCCATTGGGCTCTACTACCCTTACTTCTGAATGAATATATATATAGGATTATATTCTAAAATATTCTATATTCTAACAAGCACTTGGTGAGAACCAACACATCAGCAACATTGTCAAAATCCATCATATCTGCTTAACCCATCAGGAAGAATTACGTATGAATTTCTATAAATACAGATAGTTTAAACACTGCAAAAAATACAAATTCTGTATTAGTCTAGAAAGGGTTTGTTGTTTTTACTCTTACAACTCAGAATGATAATGAAATTGTATGCTAACAAATTAGTAAATATACATGATATTGCATGCATTTATGCTAACAATCTGTACATGGAACCTTAGAAATACTGATGTAAGGCTCTATCTTGTATCTTTTGGCCTGTGTCCTGGCAGTGTTAATAGCAATAGCAATAGCAGTAGACTTATATACCGCTTCACTGCTCTACAGCCCTCTCTAAGCAGTTTACACATGTCAGTATATTGCCCCCAACAATCTGGGTCCTCATTTTACCCACCTCAGGAGGATGGAAGGCTGAGTCAACCTTGAGCTGGTCAGAATCGAACTCCTGGCAGTGAGCAGTGAATTAGCCTGCCGTACTGCACTCTAACCACTACGTCACCACGGCTCTTTCAATAAACCACTTCTGCCAAGAAAACTGCAGAAGAAGAAAAAAGTCTCATGAAAAGCACAAGTATGCTTACCTGTATACTGCATAAATCAGTACTAATCAACTTCAGTTAGTACTAAAAAATAGTACTAATCAACATGTAAACTTGGTTTGCATCTAACACTCCTGCATTTTTCTGCTTTTGGCTTAAAGTAATTTGCACGCCAAATCTATATCCGTGAACCTGGTCACCGTGATTTATTCAACAAACTATTATTTGTTTGGGATTTAACTTGTCAAAGGAGAAATGCCGCAAGATATTTAGACTTCAGCTATGAAGTGCATGATTTTAAGTTGGTCTCAGCTTTTTCCATCCAACAGAATTTGCCAGATAAAAAAAGTACAATATAACCCCATAGAAAATTTAAGAAGTTAACCGGAAAGAGATATTTCAGTAATGCTATGGAAGTGATTTAAAACTTTAGGTGGCCAATAAGGGAAATGTAGTAACTACTGATTTTGCAAAGCCTGAAACTATATTGAATTTAGATTTACTAGCATATAAGCGAAAACTAGGATTGAACTTTGTTGAACCTCTTGCTATTTCCTTCAAGGAGTTAGGTGTTGTGTTTCAAATTAAGCTCTGGGCTTGAGAGATTGTAGACCGCAGGCCTCAGACTTGGCATTTCCTGGTAAAAGAGTAAAGGTCATCCCTTTGACATGATAAAATGGAGCAATCTAAGGAATATTTATACAATTGTACAGATGATATACAAGTGTAAGCAGGGAACCACCTACAGTGAAGCAGAGGCACCAGTGTTCCTAGTTTGAACTCCATCTCCCTATTTTATTTGAAGATGTCCTTTCACCTATCATGTTATAAATTATTCACAACATCTGGATAATTTGTATAATTTCCTCCTCTATATAATTCTTTGTTCTTGAATACTTGGGACTCTTGGTATTTTTTTGGCTGGGAACCCACAGATTGCTCTCTTTGCATAAAATTATTGGGCCTGATGACAAAGAAAACCCTTCCCCCCCCCCCCCAATATGTAGTCTTTGTATTCTATTGATCATGCCAGGCTGTTGTGATTAAAAAAAAATAGATCACTTTTAAAGTAGCCAAAGCAGACTAGAGATGTATGACAAAGTTTCTTTACCGGCATGCAGAGAGCTATTTCTTCCATGTACTTTTATCTTAAGTATATGGAGAGAATTCAGTGACGTGCGGTGAGGTTTATGACTGGTGAGGCACTGACACAAATTTTTTTAGACTTGTGGACTTCAACTCCCAGAATTCCATTGCCAGGCATGCTC